CATGCATATTTGATTGGTCTCTTAGTCTTTATAGAAGATTTACAGAAGCTCTTTACTGATAGTGAGAATTAGCCCTTTGGATATACAGAACTTTTATCCAAGTAACCTTAAGTTTATTCTTTGTTGACTTGATTTATGGTTTGTTTTGCTTCTGTTTCTTTTGGTTTTGGGGTTTTTTTTTTATTTTTCCACTATGTAGAAAGTTTCCTTTTTCTGGTAGTTAAAATAACCTTTCCCTTCAATGCTGAATCTGGATTTTTGTTCTGTTCATAAACACATATAGGGCTGGGGATATAGATAGAGCTAGCTCATGCTATGTTCAGTCTCTAGCACTACAAAAACAAAACATATGTGGGAGATCGTTCTATGGGGGTTTTGTTTGTTTTTGTTTTGTTTCTTTGGTTTGTTTAGACAGGATTTTGCAGCATATCCCCTGCTGGCCTCAAACTCACTGTCTTCCTGCCTCAGGCTCCTAAGTGCTAGGATCACAGGTGTGAACCACAACACCTGGCTTTTTGGGTTTTTTTCTTCTAGCACTTTGATGTTTTTGTTTGTTCACGGTTATATCTTTGGTCCAGCTGAAATTTGTTTGATGTGAATATGGATCCAACTTAATTTTTTTCCGGAAGACTACCACATAGTTTCCAAATCATTTATTTAATAACCCACATTTTCCCCTCTGATATGCTATATTATCTTTATTGAAACTAAATTAGTGTACTGTTAAATGTGGGTCTATTTTTTTGAATTCTCTATGCTATTCCATTGCTGGTATTGCAAAAATGACCATATGTTTTTATTGCACATCTATATGTTTATATATATATCTGTCTGGTTTTATAGTTGCCTCTGCCAACTACTGTTATTTTTTTGTAAGAGTAATGGTTACTCTTACATATGCTATATTATCTTTATTGCAACTAAATTAGTATAGTGTTAAAAGGGGGTCTATTTTTTTGAATTCTCTATGCTATTCCATTGCTGGTATTGCAAAAATGACCATATTTTTTTATTGCACATCTATATGTTTATATGTATCTGTCTGATTTTATAGCTGCCTCTGCCAACTACTGTTATTTTTTTGTAAGAGTATTGGTTATTCTTGCATGTTTATTTTGTCTATTGAGCCTTTCCTCCATTAGGTTGGTATTTTAGATTGATATAGGGAAACTTGACATTAAGACTTAATTTTTCTAATTAGGCAAAAACAAGGCCAGTAACTCTTTAACAGTGTGTATCTAGAAAGCTAGGAATAATTAGATTAGTGCAGCCAGGGTAGATTGACTGCAGTGAAGACCACATTTTTTGGCCCTTATTCCCCACTCTACTTTCTTGTCCTGACCAGTGGTGAACTTCCCTGCAAGTTGTGGAGCTTTGGTCTGATAGGATCCTATTGCAGCAAAAACATTTCTGGTTTTTCTTTTAACTGTCATGACTTTTGATGACTCTTGAGCCATGTGGGGAATATGTTCTGATTTTTTTTCTCTTAACAATTATTAGAGTAATATAGTATTATCCATATACTTATATTTATTTATATATATATATAAATATATATGTTATTTTAGGTGTTTTAACTTTATCTGTTTGGGTCATTTTCAGAAATCCTCAGAAGAACAAATTGCTAAACTACAGAAGTTGCATGAAAAGGAACTGGCCAATAAAGAGCAGGAATTGATCAAGAAGTTTCAGACCCAAGAACGGGAATTGCAGGAACAAATGCAGAAGGCTCTTGTAGGCACCTATTTTTTTTTTTAATTTTATTTTATAGGTTAACTTCATCCAGTTGCCCATCTGCCCTTCTAGCAGCTTTGACCTTTCAGTATGCAGAGAGGATAGGAGGTAGGGAAAAGGACTATTAGCTTAGTGTTGTGTGAAATTTAAATTTGCTTATTCCAAGCTTTCATCAATCAATTTATTTGTCTATCATTTCCACCCTAGTAATAGGCCATAATTAAGAGGATGGAAGGAGAAAGTAGGTTAATTGAAGGAGTGATTACATAATTCAGATAGAATATCTAAAAACTCAACAGACTAAATGTGTTCAGAGCTTAAAGTCCCCAAAGATTAAATTGCATTCTTAAAAGGAAAATACTTTCAATCTATATACCACATTAAAATATAAGATTAAAAATGGTTGAACTGATGAAAATAATCAGAAAAGCAAGGATTTCACATATTTAATGCCAGATATATGAAATAGTATGACTTGAAAATTTAATACAAAAAATATTTTTCTTCAATTGTGAAAGTCTTTTGTATAATTTACCACAAAATGTTAATGCCAAACATGTAGTTTGGTTTTATATTCAGTTATCCCTAAAATATGTGAAATTATATTCTTAAAATAATTATATAATTTTTAAATAGTGCAAAAGGATGAGAAATAGTATTTAAAATTTTAATCTCCTTTCTTTCATGCATCATTTTCTTTACTCTTAGTTGGGTCTGAAATTCTGAGAATTTCCAGCAGCATTGATTCTTGAACTGAGGTAGCAAGTTTTCTAATCTGCTCAGTAAGGCAAATAGGTGCATAGATTTGCGGTATGATGGGTTGAAGGTGAGGCAATTAGTGTGTGGTTGTGAAATTTACACATGTATGGACCCTTGTTTGTATTCTTTGCTGATCTAGAAAGAAATTAAGGCAATTTATGAGAATATTTAAGCTATAACAGAACAGCATAAGGTAAATATAGGATCAGAGAAATTAAAGAACAGGGACATGAATGAAGCTAGGCTTTATGAAGCCTTTCATGAAGACCCAGGATGGATTTTTATGCTTATGGGGGAGCTGGGCATTGAATGCTGGCCTTGTTAATACTGTCTTCCAGGAACTGCTATGTTCAGGTACAGTCCAAGTAGAGGAGCAAGACACATTCACAGGCACACACACCTTGTCACACATACACATGCACGCACACACACGTGAGCTTTCCCCCATCTTAATTTCCTTTTATTTTAATGAGCATATAGAAACAGATTTAGAATATTTACATTAACAAGATAGTATGTTGAAACTATTTAAAATCAATATTATGACAACTTATATTTTCTTTATCAATCTGCTCGTAGTACAAATCATTCCTTAAAGCATTGTGCTTCACCAGAGTGTAGTGATTTGAAAATTCTGCTGTTGGCGGGTTGTACCTAAGCAATAAAGATAAATACACTTATCATAGTTGGAATTCAGTCATAAAATTAGCATTCAGTGTGACAATTTAATGTAACAAGTGCTCTCTATAAGCTTCTTTTTATAAGTATTGGTATGTAATAAAGAAGATTTCAGACTTGACGGCACTGGAAAGCCACATTGTTTTATTTCTGCAAGCAAAAGAGATGATACTATTGCTTGCCTCAGGGCTATGTGAGATCAAATGAAAGGCATGATTCCCACTAAAGAACTTTGGGAACACTGAAGATTTATTTGGATTTAAATTGGTATTAATTGTTTTCGGCACAGGAAAAAAGTCAGTCAGAATATCTGAAGATCACTCAAGAAAAAGAGCAGCAAAATTCTTTGGCCCTGGAAGAGTTAGAGTTGCAGAAAAAAGCAATCCTTATAGAGAATGAAAATAAACTTCAGGACCTTCAGCAAGAAACAGAAATTTATAGAACTGTAAGTTTAAATATTATTCAGGTTCCACAGCTGGTTACTTATTTCCTATCAGTAGAAACTTTCAGAGAAGCTTTTGCTTTGTAGATTATATTTACATTTTTAGATAATGAGAGCTATTCATGGGAATGATTTTGGCTTTGACTCTGTGTTTGATAACTTTGTCTTCTGCTTTTATCTTTATCTGGCTATACTTTTCTCAGCCCTTCAATGTGCTTCTTTACATTCAGCCTCTGCAACATCTCCTCTCCATTGCTTATACACCCTAGATCACTGGGAAGTGGCCTCGCTTTATAGGTTATACTTCTCCTGGTACCTTCCTGCTTGTCCACCTTCATTTCATGTCATGACCTAAATATAATCTGTTCTTGGCTTATATCACAATTTAATTATATCAGTGCCCTTATTTGCATTAAAATTTTTTCCATATTAAATACAGTCTAAGAATGAACATATTTCTATATATGCCTCAGTGTGCATATTTTTCAAGGCCCTCTGATCCTTTCCTTCAGCAGTATTTAAAATATGCTACCTTTTAGTCTCTTTAACCTTTTTGCTCAGATTTAAATAATGAGACAGTCACACATGATACTCCACAGTTCTGCTTCTGCTTTTTTTATATACTACCAACATTTTTAATGTGTAAGGTGGAATAAAATAGGAACTTAAGCAGCCTAGATCTTACACTTGATATGTTTATAAATTAATTGTGCATATCAAGAAAATGAATTTTGCAATTCTTTAGGATTTTTCCAGCTCTGACTTTCTAATGATTCTCTTTTTTTCCTCAGAGTCAAAATTGATTTTTTATTAGATATTAGTAATCTTTCATAAAATGTGTTTAAGAGCCTACTTTTTTTAAAAAATGAAAACCTAAATAATGATTTGGGGTGTAGAAAGATGGGGGACCATTTTTTCCAAAATTAAGCTATGAAAATGATAAAATACTCTTGTAGGCCTTAAAGTAAAAAATGGGGCAAAAAAAATCTTACTACCAAAAGTTACTATTACCTGTTTTGCAATTTATTTCTTTATTGACAACACAGTTAGTATATTCTTGAAAATAGCGGTTGTTGAAATGGTTGCCCAAATAAGTAGAGAGAACTTAGAATTACAAGTTATGTTAAACTATAATATTTCTTTGTTCTGTGATTCAACTAGCAATTGAGCACCAATATATTGGTCCTTTCTTAAGTTTAGTAGGTTATGTAAAGTTATCTAAATTTTAATCTCAAAGGAGGTTGTAGGACTACTTAACCAGTATATCATTGCTCATAAATTTGTTTTTAATAAAAATACATCCATTTTCATTAACAGAGAATACTTGAATTGGAAAATTCTTTGGAAAAAAGTATACAAGAAAGCAAAAATCAATCAGAATATCTATCTGTTCATTTGGAAGCTGAAAAAATAAGCACAATAAAGAGATTACAGTCATGGTTGAAAAACACAAGACTGAATTGGAGAGTCTGCAGCATCAGCAGGATAACTTTTGGACAGAAAGACTCCAAGTCTTAAAGCAACAGCATCAGACTGACATGGAAAAACTTAGAGAAAAGTGTGAACAAGAAAAAGAAACATTATTGAAAGACAAAGAGATTCTTTTCCAGGCCCACATAAAAGACATGAATGAAAAGACTTTAGAAAAGCTTGATGTAAAACAAACAGAGTTGGAATCATTATCTTCTGAACTGTCAGAAGTGTTAAAAACCCGTCACAAGCTAGAAGAGGAACTTTCTGATCTAAGGGATCAAGCAGTTAAAATGAAGCAAGATTTAGAGGCCCAGCTGGATGAGCAGAAAAATCATCACCAGCAAGAGGTTGATAATATCATTAAAAAACAAGAAATAACTATCCAGAGAACTGAGAAGGCATTAAAAGATCAAATTAATGAACTGGAGCTTCTTCTGAAGGAAAAGGACAAGCATTTGAAAGAACATCAGGCTCATGTAGAAAATTTAGATGCATGTATTAAAAGATCTGAAGGGGAGCTTCAGCAGGCATCTGCTAAGCTAGATCTTTTTCAGTCACACCAGAGTACCATACATGAACAATCAAAAGCATATGAGAAACAGTTGGTCCAATTGCAGCAACAGTTATTGGATTTGGAAACAGAAAAAAAACTTCTTATCAAACAGGTAGCTGAAGTTGAAAAACAAAAGAAGGATGTTTGTATGGAGTTAGATACTCACAAAATCCAGGTACAGGGCTTAATGCAGCAACTTGAAAAACAGAATAGTGAAACAGAGCAGAAAGTAAAATCTTTAGCTGAACTCTATGAATCTCAACTTAAAGATAGTAACATTAAGCAGGAACAGACAAAGCAAATCTTGATGGAAAAAGAAAATATAATTTTACAAATGAGAGAAGAACAGAACAAAGAAATTGAGATACTCAGACAGAAATTGTCATCCAAGGAGGACAGTGTTAGTACATTGCATAAGGAATATGAAACCAAATTTAAAAATCAAGATGAAAAGATGGAAAAAATTAAGCAAAAAGCAAAAGAGATACAAGAAACATTGAAGAAGAAATTGTTGGATCAGGAAGCTAAACTTAAAAAAGAGCTCGAAAATACTGTTCTAGAGCTTAGTCAGAAAGAAAAACAATTCAATGCCAAAATGTTGGAAATGTCACAGGCTAACTCAGCTGGAATCGATGCAATATCAAGACTGGAAACAAACCAAAAAGAGAAAATAGAAAGTCTTACTGAGGTGCATCAGCAAGAACTCAGAGATGTCATATCAAGCTGGGAAAAGAAACTTAATCAGCAAGCTGAAGAACTTCAGGAAAAACATGAAGTTCAATTACAGGAGAAGGAACAACAGGTAGCAGAACTGGAGCAAAAATTCCTCATATTTGGGTGTGAAAAGGAAGAGATGAAGAAGGAAATGGCATGGCTGAAGGAAGAAGGTGTTAAGCAAAATGCAACATTAAATGAATTACAGGAACAGTTAAAGCAGAAGTCTACTGATCTGTCTTCTCTCTCAGAAAATGAAACTAAATTGAAAGAACAGCTTGAAAAGGTAATGGTTGACTTGAAACACTCTCTGAAGGAAAAGACTTTCCTTCAAGAGCAGCTAGTTGAACTGAAAATGCTGACAGAAAAAGATAAGCTTAAGATTTCTGAGTTGACAAACAAGTTGAAAATCACAGAGGAGGAATTCCAGAATTTAAAATCTTTACATGAGAGATGTAAGAAAAGCGTAGAAGACAAAAGCTTGGAATTAAAAATACTGCCTGAGGAACTAGCCTGTCAGCTAGACAGTTATTGTAAAAATATGGAAGCTTTATTAGAGGCTAAAACAAGTGAGCTAATCAACAGTAGTAGTAGTAAAAACTAATGCCATTCTTTCTAGGATTTCCCATTGCCAAGGCCACACAGATAAAGTTAAGGAGGTACTGCTAATGAAAACTCGCAAAATTTCTGAATTAGAAGCACACCTTACACAGCTAACAGAGGAGCAAAATACACTAAATAGTTCTTTTCAACAGATTACCCATCAGTTAGAAGAAAAAGAAAATCAAATTAAAAGCATGAAGGCTGATATTGAAGGACTTGTAACAGAAAAAGAAGCCTTACAGAAAGAAGGAGGAAATCAGCAACAGGCTGCCTCTGAAAAGGAGTCTTGTATCACACAGTTGAAGAAAGAGTTATCTGAAAATATCAATGCTGTCACATTGATGAAAGAAGAGCTTACAGAAAAAAAATCTGAGATTAGCAGTCTTAGTAAACAACTAACTGACTTGAATACTCAACTTCAGAACAGTATCAGCGTAAGTGAAAAAGATGCAGCCATTTTATCACTAAGTAAACATTATGAAGATCAGCAACGTGAATGGCAGGATCAAGTGCAAAATTTATCTTTGGAAGTTGATACTCTGAGTAAAGAGAAAGTTTCTGCTCTTGAGCAGGTTCACCATTGGTCCAACAAATTTGCAGAATGGAAGAAAAAAGCACAGTCAAAATTTACACAGTATCAAAACACTATTAAAGAAATTCAGGTGCAGCTGGAGTTAAAAACAAAAGAAGTTAAAGTAAAGGATGAGCAGATAAATTTATTGAAGGAAGACCATGATCAGCAAAATAAAAGATTTGAATGTTTAAAGGGTGAAATGGAAGATAAGAAAAACAAGATGGAGAAAAGAGGGTATAATTTGGAGACTGAGTTAAAGAGGCAGACAGCAAAGATCATAGAATTAGAGGACCTTATTACTCAAAAAGAAATTGAAATTGAGTCTTTAAATGAAGTACTTAAAAATTACAATCAACAAAAAGATATTGAACAGAAAGAATTGGTTCAAAAACTGCAATACTTTAAAGAGTTAGGGGAAGAAAAGGCCAATAGAGTTAAAGAAGCTGAGGAAAAAGTGTTAAGGCTTGAAAAGCAAGTAGCTTCCTTGGAAGATGAACTTGAAATTTTGAAGAAAGAATTAGAACATGTGTATTCAAGTGTGAAAAGCAAAGAAGAGGAGTTACTTTCATTGGAAGATAGACTTGAGTTAGAAAATGCAGCAAAATTTGCAGAACTGAAAAAAAAAGCTGAACAAAAAATTGCTGCCATCAAGAAGCAGTTGTTATCCCAAATGGAAGAGAAAGAACAGCAGTATAAAAAAGGTGCAGAAAGCCAGGTGAGTGAGCTAAATACAAAATTGCAAGAAAGAGAAAGAAAAGTTCATATCTTGGAAGAAAAACTTAAATCACTGGAAAGTTTTCCACAATTAGAAACATCAGTTGTATCCAGATTGGTAGAAAATGTGACAGTGTGTATTGAGCAAGAAGCAGGTCCAGAGGGCTGTATGCAGAAGGCATGTGGAGAAAAACTCAGTGCTTTACAGAGAAAGTTAATTGAAAAAGAAAAGCTGTTACAGAGACTAGAGCAAGGAAAAGAAGAAATAATTGCATCTCATTCTGAAACTCAATGCAAGTACCAGGAACTCTTAAAAAAGTTAGAATGTGCTGAAGCAAAGCAACATGAGGATCAAGTTGTTATAGATCATCTTCAAAAAGAACTTGAAGAAATAAAGAAATATTCCTTAATAGTACCCCAGCATATGGAAGAAGTGGAAAGTAAGTCTATCGTTGGGGCAAAGCAAAACTGGGAAAATGTGATTGATGATGTCCAGAAAAAACCTCCACAAAAAAGAACTAACCTGTCAGACCCTGGAGCAAAGGATAAAGGAACTGGATTCCTGTTTAGTGAAAGAGAAGGAAGTACATAGAATTGAAATAGAAGAGTTGACCTTAAAATACAAAAAATTGCAGACTTTATATCAACAGATAGATGGAAAAATAAACCCACAGAAGTTTTGGAAGACAATATTGAAGAAACTTCCAAATCTCATGTGGTCCAACCCAAATTGCTTAGTAACACGGAAGCCCAGAACAATGACCTGGAGTTTAAATTAGCAGGGGCAGAGCAGGAAAAGCAGAAGATGGGCAAAGAGATTATTAGATTGCAGAAAGACCTTCGAATGTTGAGGAAAGAACATCAGCAAGAACTGGCAATATTAAAGAAAGAATGTGAACAAGAACTGGAGGAAAAAATCAAGTAAGTTTTATTTCAGCACTCAAGTGACTTTTTTTGTGCCTAATACAGTTATTTTAAGTTATTTGAGTGTTTCACCTATCCAGATTGTTAAACAAATCTTGTAAGTTAAATACTAAGAAGAAATAATAGTTTGGGTTTAGAAGCTGTGTTATTCCATGTCCGTTTAGGGGAAAACCTTTTTCTTCATGTAAGAACATAGTTGCTAGTTTCATATCCAAGTGTTTATTTTCTTTTTGGTTTATTACTTTTAGCAGTAGCATTATTATTATATAGCAAAGATATGTTTGGTAGAAATTTAAAGTGGAAAAGGAAAGTTCTCCAGTTCTCAGGACTACCCTCTATAGATAATCATAGTTTTATGCATCCTTCTAAAAGTTTTCTATACCAGAACAGACTTTGACACTTACTCCCTCCCTGTCTTTCTCCCTCCCTTCCTCTCCCTCCCTCCCTCCTTCTCCCTCTCTCCCTCTCTCTCTGTCTCTTTCCCTCTGCCTCTCTCTCTCTTCTTTCCTTCCTCTCTCTCCCTACCCCCCTCTCACCTTCACAATTGTTTTCATACCAGAGGTCACTGTTTTGAAAATCAAATTACTCTTTGCAAACTTGACCTTTGCATGACAGCAGTTAGCTTTTTATATGGTTTTTACTCAGACAGGAGCAGGAAGATCTTGAGTTGAAGCACAATTCCACATTGAAACATCTGATGAGGGAATTCAATACCCAGTTGGCACAAAAGGAACAGGAGCTGGAAATGACCATAAAAGAAACTATCAGTAAGTACAATTGTAAATTCAATAAGGAAGCAGTCATACTCAGCACATAATTTAAGCTCTTTTGCACTTGTGGGAAGTTACTGAACTGGAGGGATCATTGCCCAGTACAGTTCTCTACAAGGTTCTCTAGAAAGTAAAATTCTCTAACCTACCCTATCAATAATTTGCCTTAAGTTAAAGAGGAACTGCTAAAAGAACCTGAAGACATTAGCTAACAACTTCCTTGTCAAGAAACTTATGCTTAGTAACAGGATACTTTTGACCACTCTTAGGTTTGATATCTTATGAAGTATCTTGTTATGCTTATGCTGAATTGAATTTTACCAGAATTAGTTTGGAATGAGGAGTCTCACTGCATTGGGATACAGATATTCACTCTTGACTGATGTGTTTTCTTGTGTGTATCCATTTTTATTTATTAGACAAGGCCCAGGAGGTGGAAGCTGAACTTTTGGAAAGCCATCAAGAAGAGATAAACCAATTACATAAAAAAATTGCAGAAAAAGATGATGATCTTAAAAGAACAGCCAAAAGATATGAAGAAATCTTTGACGTACCTTATTTTTTTTCTCTTTTGAAATGCAATTGTAATAGATTTCATGATAGTGTGGAAGATTTCCTGTTTTTCTTATGTAAACCGTTTGTTGGTACACTATTACCCAAATTAGTACTTCCATATTGTATGCAAATTTATAAAGCATCTAATTGATTTCCTCTAGGATTATACTTTCCTGATCAGATTGCTCTACCCAATCAGTGCTGGTGTTGAAGCAACACTGAGTTACTAAGAGGAAGAAGAGGTTCTCTTTTTCCTTCTTCACAGATTCATACTGAACTGTTAAGAGAACTAGAATAAGAACTAAGAGTTTGTGCTTGGATGAAATCTAAGTAATGCAGCAATTAGAGTATTGGACAGTGGCTGCTTAATGTAGCTGGGTCTTTCTACTCAGTTTTGCAAAGTTTTTGTTGGTCTTCATAGAATACATGAGTCACATGTTTTGTATTTAGTGAAAGTTTAGTTCAAAGTACTTGCTTTACTAATGGCATTGTATTAGAGTAATGTAAGCCATAAATTCTTGTGAGTACTGTAAAACAATGCACAGTATTCTCTGTTGGGATACAGTTCCTTTAGTAACTCCAAGCCTTATTTCACTATATGCCAAGAACCATTTGGTGATGAAGAAGGCATGGTGGCTCACACCTGTACTCCAGAAGCAGAGATGAGAGGATCAAGGGTTGAGGCCAGCCTAGGCAAAAAGTTAGTGAGACTCTCTCTCAAAAAACAAGCCAGGAATGGTGGTACACATCTGTAATCCCAGCCACACAGGAGGCTCATAATCCATAGCCAGCACTGGACAAAAAGTATAAGATCCTACATAAAAAATTTACTAAAAAAAGTGGAGGGCCTACAGACATAGCTCAAGTTGGTAGCACACTTCCTTAGCAGGCAAAAGTTCACAAGTTCAAACACCAGTACTGCAAGGTAGATAGATAGATAGAAAGCAAGCAAGCAGAATCAGAGAATCATGCCTCAACTGACCATGTATATATTTATTTATATGTTTATCTTTTAGGTATAGCTTCCACTTACGATAGAAAACATGTGACCTTTGTCTTTCTTAACCTAGTTTACTTCACTTAACGAGGCAATCTCCAGTTCCATCCATTTACTTACGAACGACTTAATTTCACTCTTCTGTATGGCCAAACAATACTCCATTATGTACCACATTTTCTTCATCTGTTTATCAGTTGTAGGGCATCTGAGCTATTTCTATAAGTAGGCTATTATGATTCAATAATATTGTGAGTTAATATTATGAATCAATAAACATGGGTTTACAAGTGTCTCTGTTGTATCCTGACATATTCCTTTGGATATATGCCCAAGAGTGATATCACTGGATTGTATGGTAGTTCTATTTTTAGTTTTTCTGAGGTACTGCCTTTCTGTTTTTCATACCAGTTGTATATTTACATTCCCAACAATAGTGTATAAGGGCTCCTTTTCTCCCTGCATCCTCGCCACCATTTGTTGTTATATTCTTGATGATAGACATTTTTGTTTTCTCTTGATGAATTGTTCCCTTTATTAATATGAAGCAACTTTCATTGTCTCTTCTGACTACTTTTGGTCTTAAGTCTATATTATCAGATAGAGATATAGCTACTCTTATCTGCTTTAGGGGTCCATTTGTTTAGAAGATATTTTTAAGGCCTTTCACTCTAAGACAATGTTTATCTTTGTCAATGAGATGCATTTGTTTTAAGCATCAAATGGTAGGGTCTTGCTTTTTAATCCAACTCACCATTTTGTCTTTTTTTTGGGAAACTGAGGCCTCTAATATTCATTATTAATTAATAATATCCATTATTAAAAGTAATGCAGTATGTCCAGTCACTTTTTCGTTTTTCTGATATTTTCTTTTTCTCTATTGTTTGTTTGCTAATCTATATGGCTAGCGGGGTTTATTCTTTCTTGCATATTCCTGGCTCCAACTATCATCATCTGTGTGTAGGATTCCTTTAATAAAATATTTTCTGCAGTGCTCGTTTGGTGGTAATGAATTTCTTTGTTTTTGTTTATTGCAGAACTGTTTTATTTCTCTTTGAATTATGAAGGATAGTTTTGCTAGATAGACAAGTCTCGGTTGACAGTTTTTTTCTTTTCATGGTGTGAAATATATCATACCATGCCCTCCTTGCATTTAGTGTTCATGTTGAGAAATCTGCCATTATTCTAATGAGTCTTTATTTTTGACTTGTCACTTCTCTTTTACAGTTTTCAATATTCTTTCTTTGTTCTGTATATTAATTGTTATACTATATCTGGTATAACAGTCTGGGAGTGTTTCTTTTCTGATCCTGCCTGTTTAGTATTCTCAAAGTCTCCTATACTTGGATATCCCTCCCTTTCTTGAGATTGGATTAGTTTTCTGCTATTATTTAATAAGTTATCTATGCCTTTAGCTTGTACATCTTCTTCTTCTGTACCTGTTATTCATAGGTTTGGTTATTGATGGTGTCCCAGAGGACTTGCATCTTCCATTCCTATTTTTGTAGTTTTTTTTTTCATTGTCTTTGACAATGGTCTAATTCCTCTACTTTGTCTTCAATCCCTGATACTCTATTTTCAACCTACTCCACTCTATTAACAAGATTTTACATTGAAGTTTTTATTTTGGATATTGAACTTTTCATTTCCAGTATTTCAATTTGATTATTTTTCAGGATTTCTGTGTGTTTACCGAATTCCTCTATCAGATTTCATTCAGCTCTCTGTATAGTTCTCTTTGCATTCAGTTAGTTTTTTATTTGTATCCTGTTTGCATTCATTCAGTTGCTTATAAATCTCCTCTTAAATTTCATTGATCATTGTTGTCACTGTATTTTTAATTCATTGTTTGATATTTCATTACTTAAGACCTTTATTGTGGAGCTGTTTGCTTTTGGAGGAGACATATTCATATGTTTTTTGGTTTTTTTTTTCCATGGAATTTGCTTTTTTATGCTGGGATTTGCACATCTGGGGCCAAGTTTCTGGTTAGGGGTTTTAATCCACTCTGTCTACTTTTAGTTTATTAAGGCTTGCTAGTGACTAAGTTGTGGTGTTTTTTCTTGTCACTAGACTGGTGGCATGTGGCTCAGTAGTAAAACAATAGACTTCAATGCTGGGGCTGGGTGGATCTCCCTATTCAACTCAGGAAGAAGAAGCTTAGCTATAAGAGCTATTCATAGGTGATAAATCACAATCTTTAGATTATAGTAGATCCTGATGAAGTCTAATCATTACTTCTGCTCCAGTATATTTAGAGGAATATAGGAGCAAAGAAGACCAAAGTTAGTAAGGGTACTAATGACAAAAAGATAGGTGGAATAGTACTAATGAATAATGCAGAGTAGTTTTATAAGGCAGTGAAGGGTGGTAGCTTAGCTTACTAATAGGGGTTAGTGAGAAAGAAGGGTGCATTAAGTAAGAAAGATCTAGATAATATTGTGTTGTGGAAGAGAAGAGGAAGAAAAGTAAACAAGTAACAAAAATTTGAGGGAAAAAAGACAATCTCGTAGTCTAATTAACCTGCTAAAACTGTAGGCAATAGAGAAAGGTTATGGATGGAGAGATAGAGGCAAAATAGAGTAAGAGAGCAGTTCTAATTGGAAGGAAAGTATAATTGGGGGAGGATAGGGTTTATTACTGAAAAGTATTGTCATGGTTCATATACAATGACTGCAGAAAAAAAGGAAGGAAAGAAAAGAGTAACTAAAGAAACATGAGAGTATAAGGTTATCCTAATCGGATTCAAACATAATTAATATAAACAAATGATAAAAGATCAAAGCCCAACAGTGGCAACAACAAACATAACATATTTTTTAAAACTCAGAATTTTCCATTGTTTTTCTCAGTGTCTATCAAGCTGTGTGTGTGTGTGTGTGTGTGTGTGTGTGTGTGTGTGTGTGTGTGTGTATTTTCTTCCTTCAGAGTCTATAGACTCTGCAATGCGGAAAGAAGTCGGCTTGATTCCAGCATAGGAAAAGGGGACTTGGAGAGCTTGAACACAATCTCCAGACTTCTATATTCTGAGCCTTCAGCCTGCCAGGTTCCCACTTCCCTCTAAACTTGTAGTTTCTTCTCCCAATTTCCTAAGATCTCTCACTCATCTATATATTCCAGCAATATTGCTTTCCTATGGTAAAAGCTGCTGAAATGTGCTTCTGTGCATGCCTCCACAGTTTCTTAGCTGTAGCTAGTAGCTGTGTCCTCTCCAACCACCATAGCATTCTATCTTTTGTCTTAGCAGGGGGTTTTATGTAGGTATGTCCTTTGCCTCTCTTGTAGCTGGGATTGCAGACACATACCACCATGCCTAGCTTATTGCTTGAGATGGGGTCTAGCTAGTTGCTCGGGCTGCCTCAACCTACAGTCCTCCTGATCTTGGCTGTCTGAGTAGATGGAATTAGAGGTGTGAATGACCATGCCAAGCTCATCTAGGGCTGGAGGTAGTACCATCACTGCCACCTAAACAAACAAAAAGATATCCCCCCAAAAAATAAAATTCTGTACATCTCATATACATCTGTTCCTAAACCATACCATGTCATTGATTTGTCTCAATAATGACATAGTAGAATGTTGTATTTTGTCATTTATTAAAATAATCCTATGATTAATAGCAAATTTGAGCTCTGAAACATTTTCTTTTTCCTGCCTTTCCTATCTGAGATAACATTCTTATCATTTACTCATTTGAAGAAACTAGGAACTTTTGTCACCTGATTCTCACACATATTCATCCACATACCTACATATTAGGATAGGAGATCTACTTATATCACTATCACAATATCCAACATGTAGTAGGCTCTTGGAATGTGGTTTACCACTGAACTGTATTCCATGTTCCTCTCCACTGCACATCAATTACCACTGCTATATCTTTCATCTGATCCAGTCATTTTAATTTCCCATCTGTTTTCTTTGATAGTGGTCTTCCCCGCTACCCCAACGTACTGGTCTATTCCTGACAGAAATTTTTCTTTCTTAAAACAAAAATGTAATATTACTACTTCTACATATTTCCAGTAGCTTCCCATTGTTCCAGTGATATCTTTTCCAGTCTGTGTCCCAGTTAATCTTAATCTGTTCTGCATCACATTTATGTGATGCATATGCTTTTCTGTACACCTGAAATCACATTCTCAAACTCATGAACTATTGCAGGTATTACTACCTTTTTGAATTTTTTGTATTAAATTCAATTTTTATTTAGAACAAAACTAAATCAAATATATTCACAGGGCTAAACCAAATAATATAAAAACGTATATTTAAGAATGATATATAATGAAAATTGTACCCCCCCCCCTTTTTTTTTTTAAGAAAATTAGGAAACTTACAGAGGAAACTATAGAGCTACCTCTTTTCTTTCTCTCTTTTTTGACAATGCTAAGGAATCCAAGGCTTTGAACTTGCTGGGCAAGCACTCTACCACTAAGCTGTCTACAGTCACAGAACTATTTCTTAAATTAGAAATTATTCATTTTCTTCTCTTAAGTTTTAGATGGCTTGCTCTAGATTGGTACCATACAGCTATCAAAGGAAATGTCAGACATAACTTGCTGACGTACTAAAACCTAGGCCTTAACTGTATGAGTAGCTGTGGAGGCTCAACTGCATTGACATAGACAGCCACAAGAGCTATGCCATGATAGAATAAAAATAGTAATGTTTTTACAATTTCTGGTTGATGGTGTTTTAGGTGTGGAAGTTGAATTAATGTGTGCCTCAGGGGAAATAGCTAAGGAGGCTAGATGTGAAAGATCTCTGCTTTGCTGATCTTGAAAGAAGGATTTTTTTTTTCAATTAGTATAAGAAAGTTCTCATCACTAGTGCTAGTTAAAAATTAAATTTCCAGCGTTTTATGATTCATTGGCTTATTTCATGCCATGGGTCCTATCCATTTGTTTTTGTATGTCTTTAAGAATGATGTTCCTTTTGTTTTGGAACATCCACATCTGTAAATCAGATAACTGTTTGTGGTTGTTTTCCTGTTAACTCTTATTCAGCAGACATTTGTCTTCATTACTCAAATCAGGTCAATATTCAATTTTGAAGATTCTTTTAGCACAAAGGTTATGTCAAGCTTTAAAAGATTGAGGAGTGGTTTGAATTGCTCTGTATGGTAAATCATGGTAATTACCATGACAGATGAAGAATGTGAGGATGGGCAACAGCTTTTCACTAGGGCAGTCAAAACAGAAGAATGTTGGCCAGGTATGGTAGTGTACACATATAATCTCAGCTACTCAGGAGGAGAAGATGAGGAGGAGGATCATAGACCAAGAAATACCTGGGCAAAAAACTAGGAGACTCTGTATAAAAAGGGCTAGAGGTGTGACTTAAGTGGTAAGAGCACCTATCTAGAAAAGACAAGGCCCTGAGTTCAAACCCCAGTATTGCCAGAAATAAATACAGAAAGAACAGAAAAGGATGCTTGTTGATAGAATCATTGGACCAAAATTCACATATCACTTTTTCTAATTCAGCCTTGTCTCTGTTTACAAAATCTGGGACAAATGGAGACATTACATTTATTACCAACACATTAGACAGTAACTAATATTTTTTTTTCAAGAGCAGATTTTAGTTGAACATTTTATCCTGAAGAACCACTGGTATGGTTAAGGGGCAGATGTATATGAGATGTTAAGGGTTCCTCTTCAGAGTGGGATTGGCTTGTTTTGGTGGTGGTGGTAATACTAGGTTAGAACTCAGGGCCTTGTGATTGATTATTAGTCAAGCTCTCTACCACTTGTGCAACACCTCTTGCTCAAGATATGCAGACTTGCCAAACTAGAACAAAAGACCAACTATTAACTTACACAGCCTGTATAAGGGAGATGCATAATATAAAACTAAAAATTCCCATAACTTCTTGTGATTGTTTCCAGCTGGTTGGACAGCACTATGTATCAAAATACCTACTACTTTATTTCACTGAATATTTCCTGGAAATCAAACCCCACTGTAGAAAAGGCCAAAATCTTAAAACAGCTTCTGTATTGTAGTTCTGTCATAACACTGTTACACACTTTATGCTCATATCCCAATTACCCTCATTTAAAGGAAAAGAAACAACTTGTTGACCTTAGTTGGATGAGGACAGACAGAATGAGAATGGAAAAAACGGTATCCTGAGAATAGTAAGGACTTAGAGTGGGGCATGAAAGAAGATGTTGATAGCATATTAATGAATTAAAAATAGTACTGTGTGTGTAAAAAAAAACTTATTTCTCCTACTGTGTAGTCTTATTTACAGTGTGCTATCTTTTACAATGTTCCTTTGATGTTTTTAACACAGTATTTTTTTATTGTAAAGGCTCGTGAAGAAGAAATGGCTGCAAAAGTAAAGGACCTACAGACTCAGCTTACAGACGTACAGAAGAAATACCAACAGAAGCTACAGCAGGAGGACCCTGGCAGTGATAATGTGAGAGGAATTTGAGTTTGTTCCATGTTTCCTAAAAACTGCACTGGCATGGTTTGACTTGCCTACTAACATACTGTTTTTTATCTCACATAATCCTAACAAAACCTTCTGAAAGAGTCTTGCTTTCCTTTTACAGACAGAAGAACTAAGATTCAAAGAGATTGAATAAAATGTTCAAGTTCATATAGTAACTCTTGTAGAAGAAATTTAAACCCAGTCTATCAGACTTCAAAGTTAGACTTTCCTACAATACCATTGCTTCTTGGTCTTTCCATGGGAAACAATAACAGAGGAAAGTGAACCTCATAGCTCTGGGGCATAGGCACAAATGGTTCTTAGCAAGTATGATATATTTAGATTTTTATGTTTTTCTGCTAAAAATTCATATGAAATTTATATTTATCTTTTAAATATATCCTTAGTTGTAGTTGCATTAAGTGATAATTTTAGACTGTCCTGTATCATTCTGTTTTTCTCCTTGGATAATGGAACAGATCTAGATGCAATGTGATGTTTTTGGAAAATTGGACTAAATTTAAAGAGAACAGGTACTACCTATCTAGGCTTTTTTTTTTTTTTTTTTTTCAGTCTGTAAACAAAATTGATGCTACAAAAGATATATCATGTATACCTTGTGGTTTCTTGGCAAGTATATACCCACACAATCATGTGGATCCCACTTTGAGAAGGCAGACAGTATATCATTCTTCCTAAAATGTCTCCAGGATGGTCTTTCCATAGCATTGTCATGAGGAACTTGGGAAAATGGGTGGACACTGTTTATGACTTTCTCCTTCAGAGGATTTGTTTCAGAAAGTCAGTTACCAGATAGTAATTTTCTAAACAACCATTTTCATGGATCACTTTCCCAAAATGAAGAGTTTTTTTATAAAGGCCTTTGCTATGCTGTACCATTTAGTAGATATAGCTCAATTACAAGCAATGAGCAAATTGAATGGATTTTTTTCTCTCAAAAGGTAGCTATTAGCTGGAGGTGAGCTCAGGAGACAGCACTTGCCTGAGGTAGTTATATTTTATTTATTGGCCATTTGGTCATGACTTAGACATACCAGTACTGTTAAATACTGCTTCCTATTGGGAAAATACATGTATTTTAGCAATGTAAGCTTTTCCTTAGTATCAAAGTAAGTATTAATGTTGCATATAAGGGTATTTTGACCAGTGTCAGTGTGCAATAGAGTACTAAAACATTATAAAATGAATGTTCAGAAGGTTTATGAGTCCTTTACCTAGTTTCGTAAGGAGAGAAAACATGTCAATTTTTATTTCTACTATAAACAGAATTTTTCTTTATTCTTCTTCATGAATTTTTATACTTCTTGACTACCTTTTGGTGCTTCTAAACATTATTTGTTCTGTTTTGTTGTTTTTGTTTTTGCTTGAGATGGGGTCCCACTATGTTGAGCAGACTAGTCTGGATTTTGTGGGTTTAAGCAATCCTTCCACTTACCCCCTCCCAAGTAGCTGGGACTATAAACACATACTACCATGTCTGGCTTTTAGATTATCTTGATTTGCATATACCTATACTGACTTCCATGAAAAGTAATTTATGATTATTAGCTCAGAGTAGATTCACAGAGACATTGCTTCAGAAATTTCCCGTAATAGACTTTAAAAAACATTAATTTGTTAGATTTTAAGAAGTTATGCAAATAATACATGAATATATTCTTGTAAAAGAGTGAGGTGATGCAGAAGTATACAGAATAAAAACCCTTTTTGGGGAGGGGGACACCTCTATTTTCTAAATTATAATCATTTTTAGAAGTTTAGTGAATAACATTTCAGTCCTTTTTCTTTGTGTTCATCTGTGTTTCTGTGTAGATATTTTGTATCATGAAGCAGACCAGATTTAAAAGCAAATATTTAAAATTGTCTAATCTCAAATTTGACCCTCCCTTGAGACTGTAACACTGAGTTTTTACTTCCTTATAACTTCATATTCTTTTTTATTATTGTCTTACGGATTTTATTGTATATACTCATTTTTTTTCTTTTCCATTTTTAAGGTGACAATTATGGAACTACAGGTAAGGTTAGTTTTTCATTGAAATTGACTGAAGATACTGCATTTTATGAACATTCTTTTTTAAGTTAAAAGATACTTCCTTTTTTTTTTTTTCCTGCATTACTAGGTTTTGAATTCAGGGCCTTGCTCTTCTTAGGCAGGCACTGTACCACTTGATACATTCTTGCTGCCATTTTTTTTTAAGGCTTTAGGTATTTTTCAGATAGAATCTTCATTTTTGCCTGGGGCTGGCCTCTTACTGCCATCTCCTAACCTGTGGTACCCCATGTAGCTGTGAACACATGTGTGTGCCACAACACCCAGCTTATCAAATAAGATGGGATCTCTCTAAGTTTTTTGTCATCTCCTGAGTAGCTGGGATTACAGACAGGTGTGACCTACTATACCCAGACAGGAGATTTTTTTTGAATGAGAAAAAATTTCTCAGGCAATAGAAAAATGCATCCAGGCAATGATGAAACTCGTATTCATTTCAGATCTGACTTTAATTTTTCAGACACAACTGGCACAGAAGACTACTCTAATCAGTGATTCAAAGTTGAAAGAACAAAAATTCAGAGAACAGGTACAGGCTAATTGGTGCCTTTTATTTTGAACTTACTTACATTAGTATGTACTTGAATCTCAGAAGTTTTTTTTAAGACTAGTAATTTAGTAGCTGGCTTTGAAATTCTGTGTGTTTTTTGCTTTGTTTTGTTGTTTCTTTGTTTTTGAGATACGGTCTTGCAATATATTTAGCCCAAACTGTCCTCAAACTCTTAATCCTCTTCTCCCTGCCTCCCAAGTGCTTGGATTACCAGGGTATACCACAACAACTGACCAGACTTCTTTTTTTTTTACCCAGATAGTTTTTTTACACAGGTGGTAGAGGTGATCTCTATAAATTTATGACCAAATATATTTAAATAAGAACATTTGCATTCTTTTATTTCTAGTGTTTAACATTTTGAGTAATAAGTTATATTAGTATAATTTGTAATTAAGTCCTAAAAAGAAGGGTTTTTTGTTTATCACAGGAGAAAATATGTTGACATCAATATTTAATTCTTCTTCCTACTGGTTAAATTGTCCTAATTGAGTATGATTTGTCCATATAGTATTCATGAACAATGTATGCAGCTTAGTTTAAATGCATGTGTGCATACCACCACAGTTGCTGCACAAGCATATAGACACCAGCATATATGTATGTATCTGTGATGCATGATGCTTAGTGAAGTCTTTTTCCAAACTCTGGAGAAATAGAGGCTCAAATCCATGGGCTAAGTTTATAGGCTAAATCTCCAGGGATTTTCCAGTTCTCTTAAAATACATGTAAAGAAATGTCCTGATATGTAGAAATTGGGTAATCAATGGAAATATAGATAATAAGGATTCCATACTTTCTTTATTTGAGTATGTTTGAAATTTTTCTTAATATTTTTTTAGAAGTCCATAAAGACAGGTACTAAATTACAACATTACAAATTTTTTTTTTTATTTCCCAGTTATGTAGTTTATTGCTTGAAAATTCACTTCTTTAAGCATCCTTAAATATTTATATCTTCTATATTAGTTATTATTTCAATCATTGTAAGATATACGTAACATAAAATTTACCATTTTAAAGTACCAAACTCATTGGTATTTATTTCATTCACAATTATCATTCAGCTATCAACTTTACATTCACTGTTGTATAGTTACAATATTTCATTATCCCAAAAAGAAACTTCATGCCCATTGAATAGTCAGTCACCTATTACTCCTTCCTTCAACTCATGACAACTAATAATTTGCATCCTGTCCCTATGGATTTGACTATTCGAATTTTTCATATAATGGAATCCTACAATATATGACCTGTCGTGTTTGGATTCAAAGTAGCATAATGTTTTCAAGGTTCATCTGTGCTGTAAGAGAATTTTAGTCTGTTATTCCCTCTGATGGCTGAATAATATCCCATTGTATGAGTATACCACATTTTATTTATCCATTCATTAGCCAGTGTATATGTGGGTTGATTTTACCTTTTTGCCTACAACGAATAGTGCTGCTAGGAACATTTGTGTATAAGTTTTTGTGACTATAACTATCTGAGTCAGTATGAAATAGTATGCTATGTTTTAATTTGCATTTCTCTCTCATGACTAAAGTTAAGCATCTTTTTCATCTGTTCGTTGACCATTTGTTTGTCTTCTTAGGAGAAATGTCTACTGAAGTCTTGTGCTCTTTTTTTTAATTGGGTCATTTGTCTTTTTACAGTTGAGTTGTTAGTGCCCTTTATATATTCTGGATACAAGGTCCTCGTTTTAATAAAACTCAATTTATGAATTTTTCTTGTCTGTGCTTTTAGTTCCTGAGAAATTGTTTGTTTTAAATTTGTTTTCCTGTATTCTATCTTCATCATTAAAAAATCTAGTGCCACACTAGTCCTTCGTTTTTTACATATGAATCCTTTAATCCCAGAAAGCCAATGTGAATCTGTTTTTTTCTACCAAAGTAAGCTTTTAATCACCTTTTAAAAATGTAATAGACACATTTATCAAATTTTTAATGACTGAGTTTTAAATAACATAGGATCCTGGAAAATATCTTTGAAACATTTGAGTATAGACTTTGCTTCCTTTTTTTTTTTTTTTAATCATTATTCTTGCACTGGAAGTACATTGTAACATTTACAAGAGTGCTTACAATATATCTTAGTTAAATTCACCCCCTCCATCATTCTCCTTCCATATAAATCTTAAGATGTGACTTCAATATCTATCATTTTTAGATTCACAATTTAGAAGATCGTTTGAAGAAATATGAAAAGAATGTATATACAACAACTATGGGGACACCTTATAAAGGTAAAAATGATCTTTCATATATGTTATCTGTGACAGTCTATTATTAGTGGACTTATGGTTGATTTTAATTTTGTCTTTTCTAATCTAAATACTCTTATTTTATTTAAAAAATTTTTTAATTAAATTTTTTATTATTTACAACATGTTATTTTGAAATATATGTTCACTATGGAATGACTAGAATGAGCTCATTAACATTAATTCCCTCACATAAAAAAAAATTTTTTTTTGTGGTGAGAACACTTAAAATCTCTCAGTGATTTTCATGAATCATACAGAATTAAGTGTAGTCACATGTTGTATATAGATCTCTTGAACTTACTCCTCCTATCTAACTGAAATTTGAACAATAAACACATCCAGCCTCCCATGCCTCGGCTCCTGGTAATTTCCTTTCTATTCTATTCTATTAGTTTTTAAGATTACATATATAAGTGAGATCATGTGATTCTTGTCTTTTATGCCTGGTTTATTTCACTTTCATATAATGGCATCATACATTCAATGATCTTTTGTTTGGCTTCAAAAGTGACATAATGTTTTCAAGATTCATCCATGCTATAGAATATCTTAATATGTCAGATTCTCCCATATTGTCCCCAGTGACAGTATTTCTTTCTTTTAAGGCCAAATAGAATTCCATTGTGGTTCATATATATTTATCTTATTAGTAGTAGTAGTAGTAGTAGTAGTAATAGTAGTAGTAGTAGTAGTAGTAGTAGTATGCTCGGTGGGGGTACATTGTGACATTTACAAAAGTTCTTACAATATATCAAATATACTGGAATTTGCCCCTCCACCATTCTCCTTTATCTTCCCCTCCCCCATTCCTGTTTCCTGTTTATAATGAATATATTTTACCTTTATAACTTTACCAATAACAGTGAGTGTTAAGGAAAGGATAGTAATCTTAAAATAAAATTAATACACAATTTTGTTTTAAAAAGTCAGTGCTACAATAGTATCAATGAAACTACATATTTCTGCTTTATTCTTCACTCCTCATATGGGCCCAGTTGACAATTTATGATTATTTGTCCAGACTCTTCTGTATATGCAAACATTTATGCAATCCACTGCATACATTCAGACATATACACTCCCTTATATGTTTTGTATGCTTTCTGTTTTTTCTATTATAATAATGCTATAACTACAAATTTTCAACCAAGACTTAAGGAAAACATGATGTCATATAAATTATTGTATTCAAGGTAGGGATAGATGACTTGGAAATGTTTTTCTTTGGGTTTAGATTGGGTATTCCATTTCCAAAGTTTAAAAGATGAGCTTGAGTCTTTACATAGTGATTTTCTTGAGATAATCATGATCTGCAAATTATTTCATAACAGTTATCCATTCTTTAAATTTTAGTTTCACAGCCTTCATTATAATAAGAATAGTTTTATTTTGTTAAAATTTTTCTAAAGCTTTCTGCTTTCTCTTGGGCGGCACAAGGAAAGTGCATGCTTTGGATTCTTTCCAAACCATTCTTCACAAAGAAGTAAAACTCAGCCTGTAAGTTTCTTATGCTCACTGCAGAGATGATTCCTGTATGTAGTTCTCAGCACAGAACTTTGCTGAGTCAGTGCTTTACAGTGCTTAGGGAAGACTACTGATTCTTTTGGTAAGCTTCAGTTTAAGGATTTTTATATATAATTCCTTTTTCAGTTTTGTAATCATGAATATGCATTTTTTTCATAACTAAAACACATATAGTACTAAGGCTTAAATACTGCTATAAACACAATATGCATATCCTTTTATCCCAGAAAACCCAAGAAATCTGGTGGAATATGCACATTAATCTTGACGTGCTAGTTCTTTAAAGACTAAAGGTAAAATGAGTACCCTCTTTGCAGAGAAAAATCATTACCTGTTCTTTAGCTGCCTCTGTGTGCACCTCTATAATAATGTCTTTATTCCTTTCTTCATACTGATCCTCCCAGATTTATGTTAATCTTTCTCCTGTCTTTCTTTCTCACCACCTCTGTATGAATTTTCTTTAGGTTTTGCTTGTTTGGGAAGTTTCTGTAATGCAGTCATACCACATGATCTGTTTGTTTCTTTTGCTTACTATAACACCTATAGAGTTATGTTATGTATAGCTGTGTTTCACTCATTTCCATTGTATTAATTTTTTACATGCTTGTACATGTTTCCAAGTACTATATACATGAAAGGTTTTCTCTGGAATGCAAAACTTAATGATAAAGTTTAGAGTTCACAGGATGTGAACATTTTCTTTACATATGTTCTAGTAGATAAGCCAGAATATTTTCTTTTTTTTTTATTTGCACTTCTCTCAGCAATGGGTGTATGTTTTTACTGCTGCAGTTCCCTCCTCCTCATTGCTATATATTTTAAGGCCCTTTAATGCTTTGGTTCTTCTACATTCTCTCTAATGATATCTCATTATTTTATTTCTATTATTAATTATAGATTGGGCATCATATTTGTTTGGGCATTTGTTGTATTTATTTATTTATCCATTAGGCCTATGATATTTCTACTTTTGACAAGTACCTCCTTCTGATTTCCATGTTTCTTCAAGTTACCTTGTCAGTTTCTTTTTATAAGTTGTGAAATATCCTATTTATTTACATTGGGGAATTTGTTAGTATATATTAATTATAAAAAAATAATGGGTTTAATGACATTTCCATACATTCGTAAAATGTACTTTGATTTTATTCTTCCCCTCTGTTACTCTATCCTCTTCCCACTTACCGCCTTTCACATTCATAATAATCCCACTTTTACTTTCATATCCTTTTCTTTTTCCACCTATGAGAGAAAAACATGTTACTTATCTTTATGAGAATAACTTAACATTATGATTTCCAGTTCCGACCATTTTTCTGCAGATGACATAATTCATTCTTATCTATCTTTGGCTGAATAAAAAGTTCCATAGTCTGCCAAGAAGAATTTTTATTCTTCAGCTGTTGGATTGGAATATTCTGTATATGACTGTTAAGTCCTTTTGATCTATGGTAAAATTTAACTCTGAAGGTCCTTTGTTAATTTTTTGTCTATTGATGGAGTATTAAAATCTCCCACTATAATTGTAATGGATCTGTCTATTCCTCTATATCCAGATATAAGTGTTTCAATGTTCAGTGCATGTATATTCACAGAAATCATGTCTTCTTAGTAGATTTTTTTCCCATTTAGTATTTATTGACCTTTATATCTTCTAATTTTGACTTGACGTCTATTTTTCAGATACGAGTATAGCTGTATCAGCTTGCTTTCAGATTCCATTTTGTTGGTATATCATCTTCCATCCCTTCACTTTCACTCTGTGTGTGTCTATACCAGCAAAGTGTGTTTCTTACAGGCAGCATACAATTAACCAGTTTGCGTCCTTAAATGGAAAGTTAAAACAGTTTACATTTAGTGTTATTATTGAAAGGTTAATGTTATTTCCTGTAAATTTTGGGGGTTTTCTTCTTGGATGACTCGAGTACCCATTCTTCTCCTTTTCATCTTAGAGGTTTGCTGATTTACTAATTTAAACATGTTTGATTCTCTCCATTTCTCATTTGTTCATCCATCCTTCTCATGAAATGTATGCTTTCCCAGTCTTTCATGATTGTCACTGTCCTTCTTCATCTGTATGTAGGATTCCTTTTAGTATCTTCTGTGTTGCTGGCTTAGTGGTCATGAATTTCTTTAGGATTTTTTTATCTGAAAGGCATTTATTTTTCCATTGACTTTATCTATTTTTTATTTGTATTACTTTTGCATTTATTTGCATGTGTATACAGTGTTTGCACCATCCCCCACCCCCTGCTACCTCTTTTTCTGGTTCTGGGCAGAACCTCCTCTTCTCCAATTTTGTAAAAGAAAAAACAATAATAAGAAAAACATGGCATTTTTGCTAGCTTGAGATAAAGACAGCTATATGGGGAGATTCCTTTTGTTGTTTACATGCATATATGTATTACAACCCAAATTGGTTCGTCTCTACCAGTCCTGTTTACTACTCCATAGTCCCCTTCCCATAGTGGCCTTGGCCAGTTTAAGATTACTGTGTTCATTACTAAACAGTGAGCACATCAACTACATTCAAGTTTTTGGTTTCCTTCCCTTGCCCTATCCCTCCTGTGTGCTTTCTCCACTTAATGTGACCCATGCCCAATAATATTGCTGTGTTTGTTTTAGGTCTGTAATCTACATGTGATTTTTGGCCTTCTGAGCCCAACTAACTTCACTTAAGATTATGTTCTCCAATTCTAACCATTTACCTGTGAATGAGAAAATTTCATTCTTCTTTGTGACTGAGTAAAATTCCATTGTGTATAAACACCTCATTTTCTTAATTCATTCATCAATAGTGGGACATCTTGGCTGTTTCCATAGCTTGGCTTCTGTGAATAGTACTGCAATAAACATGGGTGTACAGGTGCCTTTGTAGCACCTCACATTCTTTTGCATATATCACTAGTAGTGGTATTGCTGGATCTTATGGCATGTTTTTAGTTTTTTAAGGCGCCTCCATATTGTTTTCCATAGTGGTAGTGCTAGCTTACATGTCCACCTGCAGTATATGAGGGTTCCTTTTTCCCCACATCCTCAATAACATTTGTCATTGTTGGTGTTCTTGATGGTAGCTATTCTAACTGGAGTGAGGTAGAATCTTAGTGTGGTTTTCATTTGCAATTCCTTTAAACCAAGGGATGGTGAATATTTTTGTGTGTGTGTGTTTTAGCCATTTGGATTTCTTCCTTTGAAAAAGTTCTGTTTAGTTCAGTTGCCAATTTCTTTATTGGGTTTTTGATTTTTGAGGAGTTTAGTTTTTTGAGCTCCCTGAGTACTCTGGTTATCAGTCCCTTGTCTGATGTATAGCTACCAAAGATTTTCTCCTATTTTGTGGGTGGTCTCTTCAATTTGGAGACCATTTCTTTTGTTGTGCAGAAGCTTTTTAATTTCATGTAGCTACATTTCTTGATATTTTCTCTTAGTTGCTGAGCCACTTGTTTTCTTCTGAGGAA